TTTCATTTGTTTGTGGAATTCTCTCTGCGGTCGTGCTGATAGCTGTGTACGTGTGTTTCCTCTACTTTACTGTCTAATCGTCCATGAAGGTGCGTTTGAAAGATGGATTATATCAACATGTCTGTAATCTGCAGACATGACTGTACCGCGGATATTAATTTTTGTTTTATTATCTTATTCACAGCTTCTTTTTTGTTGGGTCTTTTATTCTGTGTGTGTGTGTGTGTGTGTGTGTGTGTGTGTGTGTGTGTGTGTGTGTGTGTGTGTGTGTGTGTGTGTGAGTGATGTTGCCTTAAATATAATTTATTTGTCATGAGGAAGTTTCACTGAGCATATTCACATCAGTTTGTTCTGTTGTGTGTTTGATTGTTCTGGAAGGTAAAGCAGGAACTTGATGTGTTCAGGTTCAGGGTTGATTGTCTGCAGTTTCACACGTTGATGTTTTGTACGTTTTTAATCGTGAACCCAGGAAAAATAGGAGTTGCTACAGAAACAAAGAAAAGTTATGTGAATGATTAAATGACCAAAGAAAGAAAAATATTTATGTTAAGCTCGAGCTCTTTTTGCAAAATCACATTTTTGGTTTATTTGTTGTTGTTTTAATGACCAAAATGAAAAGTATCAGATTCGGGAAGTTTGCATCGTGCCGTGATGTGTTTAAAACAGGGATGATGGGGACAGGAGGTTAACTGGTGTGAGTGTGAGTGGTTGTCTGTGTCTGTGTTGGCCCTGTGACAGACTGCTGATCTGTTCTGGGTTAACCCCGCCTCTCGGCCTATGGATGCTGGGATAGACTCCACCCCCTGCGTCTCTGAGGAGGATGAGCAGAGGAGGAGGGATAGTTGTTTCTCCTGCTAACAGGTGATGTGTGACTTGTTGAGTTTCTTTATTGAAACTTGGAGTCATGAACATATTATAGATGCAGAATAATAAGCTTCACAGCTGCTTCTGCTCACTGAGTTCATTGTTAACATTAAAATCTTTAGAGTTAAAGAGTTTCACTCACAGTCCAGTGGCTTTAAATGAGATGCTGATAACTCATCTTTTTGGGAGCTCCATTCATCACATGTATGTGTTGATGTAAAAGTTGCTTTTGTGTAATATTTACTTTGATCTCTTGTTTGCAGATTCTTGGAGAAACCAGAGTGATGATCCTTCTAAGGATCCTTGTAACGGTGACACCGAGCTGCCACATCAGACACTCAGAAGAAACTTACTGATTCTAAGTTCAGGACAATAGATTCATGCGTCAGTGAAATGAAATCTTTACTTTTACTCTTGTCTCATATTGAGTCAGCGTGAAGGAAATGCTGCTGTTTTATATTTATTTAAAAATGATGGCTCATGATGAAATGAATGTTTTTTATTGTCACATGAAGCAGTGACTTCCATGATGATCATGACACATGAAACATGATCATGGCTGTTGTTACTGGGAAATGAACACTAAGCTGCAGTAACGTCCAGCTTTGCTCTGCACTTTAATGTTTGTGCTCTCACACTGTCATTACCTTATTAATGCTATGTCTTGCATCTGCAGTCAGATAATGTTAACCATCATTACACAGCAGACTCTCGTGCTGTTTCATTTAATTAAGACAAATATGGCCATCATCTTTTATTCATTCTCTTATTTCTCTATGTGCAGATTTGAAATTTTGTATAAAATCTTTCCTTCTGATTTAAAGATTATTTGCTGCTGTTCAGAAACCTGAAGTAGAGTAGCAGGACAGTGATGGAAGCATCCTTCCTAATGAGGAAGTTGTACTTTTGCTGAGCAAGTCTTGACTTATATGTGTATGTCTATCACTTGTATTCTTCTTTCTAAAGTCTTTAAAAGAAGACATTTTCTGTCCTTACACCTGACCGTTTACTTAAGCCACGTATGACTGACCCGTGAATCTTTCAAGCCTAAATTGTAACCGTGTGTGTGTACATGGGTACGTTTATCTCTGAGGTATAGCACTTCTTTTTTAACTCCCAAAAGTCAAAAAATGTAACTACAAACAGTTCAGACGAAGGCATTTCTGTGTTTTTCACTGACTGATCAAAGAAAAAATAATGATGATCAAAAATGTAAAAATAAATAAATAAATAAAATCTGAAGGTTTAAATAAATTGTTCTCTTTGTGTGTCTGCAGCTCAGACGCAGTCTCATACACTCAGCCCAAACTCCAGACTCAGATGATTTCCCTCGTTTTGTTTTCACTGATTCGTTTACAGTGCAGGGACTAACGTGTTGTTAAGTAAAGTGTTACAGTAACTACATTATTATTGTGGTAACGAGCACGGTAACTAGTTATTATGCCAAAATCAGGAACCCGTCAATCGTTACTGGGATTTAGAGTCGTTATAGGGCTTTGGAGTTGACGTAACGCCGCAATGCATTGTGGGAGCGCAGCACCATATTGGCAGGCCACGACTCAAAGATTCCCTCAAGATTCAAGACTCAAAACTCTTTATTTGTTGCATGCATAGTCATACAAGTACAACACGCAGTGAAATGTATCCTGACCTGCTCCTCGACTGTGCAAAAGAGGGAGAGAAGAACATTATGTGCATTAAGAATATATACATGGGGGGCATTATGTGCAGTAGTAGATTTGTATGCAGCAAGTACGTTAATTATGTGCAGTAAATGAATTAAATAAACATCAACACGTTTCAGAAACTGGAGCAACTCAAATTAATCCAGATATAATTAAGAATCAGACAAAAATTCTCTTGTTAAATGTCAGAGGTCCAAAACACATAATTAGTGTCTTCTCAGGTCCCTCAAGACTATCCAGAACAGAAGAGCAGGAAGTATATGTGTACTACAGCTGTTTTTATAATCATACATCCAGTCAGTCGTTTCTGGACTTCACATATTTCAGTTCATGGTGTGATTGAGTTGTTATTTCTTTGTCAGGTTAATTGTAATGATTCTGGTTATAATTGTTCGTGCATGTTAAGATTATATGTCTCAGTACTTTGATACTATGTTGCTAAGATATTTAGCACTAAGTTAATAGCAGCGGCCATAATCCCCACAATAATAACATCCAGCTGTATTAGTTAGAGGACTGTTCGACTGTTTAGTTTAACTGCTGCTAGTTTTACCGTATTTGTGCCTTAATATGAGCAACTTGTAAGACACGTGTTAAAAAGCTTATCTATGGTCTACAGGGACCCCTTGTGGACATTGTGAGATATTGTTGTGTGGAGAAGATGGATTTACTGTATTGTGATCATAGTTATCTGTGACACGTAAACGACAAGTTCAGTTATGGCTGCACCGCCTGGCAAGCACTTTGATGCAAACAACTCTTCTGTGGGAATTTATTAAAGACCAATAACCCAACTCCTGCACTGCTGCAGTCTTTCCCCAACCAGACCCTGGATCAACAGTCAGGTACGACACATGCTGCGTACTCGGTCTCTTGCATTTACATTTTTCCTTCAATTTTGCGTTTACGTGTGGACGGGGGTTTTTTTTAAAACAAAAATGGAAAATCTGTTTTCAAAAATACCCGTGTACGTGTGGACGTAGCCTAAGATGACTTTAGGAATTCTGTGTCGCCTCTTGTTGTTATCTGTAAATAATAATAAAAAAGGCACCTTCACATACTGTGTATATTTAGAATCCAGACTCTTCGATTTGTTTGCTAGAACATGCATCACATCCAGCTAAAACAAACTGTGACATACTTTGGCTGTAAAGATTTTGTGTTCGCACATGATGACGACAAGCTCGTCTATTCGAGGCTGCAACACTGCAAGGCTGCCATCAGTTTATTAATAAGAATACAGTATGAGTATAATACAGAAAACTGATCACTCACATTTAGCATTCAGTCTTTAAAGCAGAATTTCCAGAGATAGATTTTCCCTTCAAGGGGGACAGGAATTTTCACAGAAATTGAAAAAGTGTATTAAACGGGGCAGGACCCAAAACAGAGCCTTGAGGTACACCGTGTTTAAGAGGGGCTATTTTGGAGTTATGGGGGCCCATATTGATGTGAAAAGACCTTCCTGACAAATAGGACTGAAACCACTGGAGGGCAGATCCTTTTAGGCCAGCATGAAATTCTAGCCATGATAACAGGACGTCGTGGTCGACCTTGTCAAAAGCTGCTGACAGGTCCAACAATAGAGGCAAGGTTACCAAAAAAGTAGTCCCAGAACTCTTGGACCTAACTGTATGCTGTAGTTGTTTCACATGGTTTTTCCATATGAGATGACTACTTTCCACTTCTTTATTAAACAAGATTTAAAAAAAAAAAAAGACATTTAAAATCTTTATTTTTTTATTAGAAATTAATTTACGAATGTAAAATGATTTCTATATTTATGGACGGTAATAATTAAGCTTTGTGGTGCTGAGCCAGAAAAAGATGCCAGAGTTTAAAGTTAAAAGTGTTTATTTAGAATACTTTAAAAAGTGTGATGCAAATTTTATAAAATCTGTGTCAAAATGCTTAATAAAATCATAAAATACACAAATATCCATCATTTTGAAAGCAGCTTGATTCTTAAATACATCAATACCAGTTTTAACAGCACAAACGTCATCACTGTGAAAGGCACAGCTGCTGATGACTCTGAGTAAAAACAGATTTCAACCTGAGAAATGTTAAAAACAGATGTGAATACCTCCAATACAGACAGACATTCCTCCAACAAGTCGACTCGACAGGAAGACGAAAGAAAAAGTCAATCTCATCAAGTTTAAATACAGTCAAAGGTTTGCAGGAAACTTTGGTTTGTTCTGACAACAACATGAAGCTGAGTGATATTTGAAGAAGTCAAAGCAGCTTTTTACCATCTGACATCTAAAAAGTAGAACCAGTTTGTGCAGGATCACCAGCACCTGCAGCAGGTTTTGGAATGAAACACTTACAGTTGACATAATCAATATGATCTCCTTGACTCATCACAGACTGCAGTGTGAAACATGGAGACACAACGAGACGGATTTAAAAAATAATAATAATAATAAAAGGGATGAAAAAACAAAATATTAAAAAAGTAATGGTGACCCCCCCCGCCTCACAAACACACTACAGCTGTGACGTTAAACAGTTTGTGAGTGAAGCGTCACCGTTACAAGCTTCCTTAGAAGGATCGTCTCTCTGGTTTCTCTGAGAAGCTGCAAAAGCAGAAAACGTGAGAACATGAAGGATGAGATTATAACATCATGTCTCTGCTTTACTCACAGATGGAGAGAAGCAGCAGTTTGTGGTAACTGTGGTACAAAAACATGTAGTCAGACTAAAATGATGATTTAATGCTCAGAACCTTGAATATTAACTGATAAAGTTTGGTGGCATTATGTGAAGATGAACAGCTCCATGTTGACATGAACGTGCCTGAAACTATCAGAATAATCCTGCTGTGCACACTCTGACTTAGTGTGTACACCAGGATTATTAATTATTAATAATTATGAGTTTTTATTTTCCTGTTTAAAGCAAAAGATTCAAACATAAAATGTCAGGAATGTGAACTCGACACTGATCAAATCATCTGTTATATGGCTGTCTAACCTTACAGGTATATGAAATAAATCATAAATAATAAATCCATTATTCTGACTCACCTTTCTTGTGTTTTCTGATGCACTTTGCAGCTACAGATGGAGCCAGAGTTGCAGCGACAGTCAGAACTCCAGAAAACCACAAACCTATGAGCACACCGACTCCACAGTGGGACTTCACCTCAGACGTTTTCTCTGAAACACATGAAAGTTCATGCAGGACTGTAGCAGGACGCCACACACAGCACACTGGATACACACAAACATTAAACACAGTCTAAACAATGACACAATAAGATCTTACCACAGTAACGCACGTCGATCTGATCACGGGTCACATGGCCCATCTCCTCCTGCGTGGCTACGCAGTGGAAGAGGCTGCTGTTTGTCCTGGTCACCGTGGTGAGGAGGGTGATGTCATAGCGCTCTCCTGTGCGTGACACCTGTGGCTCCTCAGCAGGAAGGATGTTCCCATCGCTGTCCCTCCACTCTACTTTAGGCTTTGGAGAAGCACCTCTGACCTCACACTTCAGCAGCGCCTCGTCCTCGCTGATGTTCAGGATCCCAACAAACGGCTTCGGAGCTGCACCTGTGAACACAGCATGAAGCTGCAGTTACAGCACAAATGTGCTGTCATGCTCTCATGTCCTTCTCTTTCCTGATGGAGATGTCGACACATCGTGTGTGAGAGCAGAGAAATAACAACCTTTACTACATGTTACAGCAGAGTTTGGGAGGACTTTCATTTATCAGCACAAACAGGAAACGTCCTGAGTCCAGCTTCACAGAAGTAAAAATGATGTCATCATTATTGAGCTTTCAGACAGGTTGATTTGTTAGACTGTGACCCAGAGTGTGACCTTACAGACTGATCAGAGAAATCTGAAGGCTTGACTGAGAACATCACTGATTTCTACATCTGCACTCTGTGTGCTACGACTCTGTGCCCCAGAGGGAACGTACCATTACTCACACATTTGGACACCAGCACAGGTTTGATCCCAGTCCACACAGCAGCCTCTACAAACTGCACATGTAGAGCTCAGTGACATCAGAGTCAGGCTCAGCACCGACTCCTCTGATGTACAGGGTGGGCCATTTCTATGGATACTCCGTAACAACATGGGAATGGTTGGTGATATTAAAGTCCTGTTTGTGGCACATTAGTATATGTGAGGGGCAAACTCCTCAAGATGGGCGGTGACCACGGTGGCCATTTAGAAGTCGGCCATCTTGGGTACAACTTTTGTTTTTTCAATAGGAAGAGGGCCATGTGACACATCAAACTTATTGGTAATGTCACAAGAAAAACAATGGTGTGCTTGGTTTCAACGTAACTTTATAACAGGTTACAGATGCACACATCAGTGACATCATCACTCACCTGGGATTTCTCCTGATCGATCTTTCAAGGTGAGTTCTGAAAGGCAAAAATTAAACATGTGTTTTTTCACACAGCATCATGAACTCATGATGGAGCTGATGTTTCTGCATCACCTTTGTGAGCATCTCTTGGTTCAGGTAACAAACTGATGAGGTGACAGCTTCCAGCAGAGTTATTAAAGGGTTTGTTTTCACGATGCTTTCTACTCACCAACAACAAGTTTAATGCAGAACCTTTGTTCTGGCTGCAGATGTGGAAAATCACAGGTGTAGTCTCCACTGTCAGCCACCGTGGTGTTTCTGATGATGATGGAGGCGTTACCAAACTGCAGCTCTTGTGGGAAATGTGAGACCCGTCCTCTGAAGTGCTCGTCTTGACCTCGACGTCCATTATTGTAATGAAGGCCTCCATCATACATGAACACCTCCTGTTTATTTGGTGCTTTTTTCCTCCAATCAAAGAGCTTCTGTTCAAGGTCCTGATTGGTGCTGAGGGAGCAGGGTAAGATGACATCACTTTCTTCTGAGACAACCACTGTGACTCCTGGACCTGAAGAATGAAGCATGTTTGATTCAGTATGTTGAAATATGCAGTTCATAGTTTGACTGTAGCTCAGACTCAGTGTGTTCAGATATTTTACTTCACTTGTCTGTAGCTCAGGTCACTGATAAGTCCAACATACAATCTACTGTGATAGGATCAGCTCTATCGTCTTGACGCCTGCTCAGTCATCCAGGTAAGCAGATGGCAAAAGGTGGATTCTGTTCATCTGTAAGCAGCGTTTTCAGTGGGAGAACTGAACTGAAACTGAAAGCGCGTGAACAGGTGATCAGAATCAACCTTTTGGGATAAACTTTTGCCATCTGGTTGCTTCTGATAGAATACAGATTTAAGGCATGTCCTCATTGCTTTAATACTTCTAAATAGAAGCTGTGCTGTGGGCAGAACTTTGTGCCATTAGAAACTGAATTTAAATAAGTTCAATTCAAATTACAAAGTTCTGCCCATCTATCATACTATGTTTCATGTAAATGTATAAAACAACTTACTGTGAAATAACATTTTTCCTCACATTAACATTTATGTGTACCATCATTAATCCTCATAATCTTATCAATAATACTGATGTCTGTCAAAACACATTCCTGGAGACGTTACAGTCATTACTAGTGATGGGCAGATGAAGCCCCATGAAGCACTGAAGCTTTTCATCCAATTGGTTCACCCCAACGCGAAGCTTCATGAAGCTTCATTTGCTCTAGTAGGACACCTACTGGACGTAAAAATAATAGCTGGCATGAATTTGAAGAGTGTGGCATTTTGCACACAGCCTGTAAATGTCAACAACAAAAGGAGTGTGTAAAACATGTATATTGTAGTGATGGCAGTATACTGTGTATATTTATAGTGGCAGTATGGGAAATGATTATTTGGAAATGCTTGAAATGGAAATGATCATTTACTGTGAGGTGAGGTGTGGTTGGGGTGTGGACAGTGGTTGTGCTTTTGTAACGTTGAGGTATGGACAGCTACACACTGAGGCTTTGAGCCTCAGTCCTGCCTGTTCACATTTTATTCTGTAAAAACTAAATTTTCACTGCTTTTATGACCTTTTTAGTGGGGAGAACATAGCTAGGATTTAATGATTTAACAAATCTTTTGAATCCTTTGTCCTCCACAATGCTAAATGGCTGGGAGTCCTCAATCACCATGCTGACCAGGTCTTCATCTATTTGAGATTGTTCTCCTGAGGAAAGACAATAAAGATAAAGCACAAATATAAATATCACATACGTAACTTATAACAGTTGTATAATATTGTTATATCATTTAGTAACATTACTGCATCCTATATTATCATGACATTTGATGGCTCACCTGGTCTTGCTCCACAATCAGTGTCCCCCTTATTCTCATGCAAAGCTCTGTAGTGCCTAAGCATGGATAAGGTGTTGTTGTTGTTATATCCCAGCTCCCTGGCACATAGAAAACACTTCACCTTGTACAAAAGTCAAGACAGCTCAACATAAATTGTATTGCACCATCAGTATCATGAAAATACATCTTCTGTAGAAATTTACATACCTTGTTGGGAGGAATAAGATCAAAATGTTCCCACACAGGGGAGGACATCCTCCTCTTCTTAGCTGGCTCCATTCTCTCCTGACTTTCTCTCCTCACTCTCATAAACCTCCAAACGGTCTCCAAACTCTCACTAACCGCAACTCTCCATCAAACACCCACATTTTTGAATGAAGTCTGAGGGGTTTATATCGCTGTCATATCTCGCGGCAAAGTTCGAACCACTTCATGAACCAGTCACGTGGTACAGCCGGGCAGCGAGGCTTCGGACGTCATCATTTTCAGCTCCTCCCATAAATGAAGCAAGCCTCGATACGCGCTTCGCGGAAACGCCCCCTCCATTACTCGACACACGCTCCGAAGCCTCGATACAGAACGTCCCATCACTAGTCATTACAGCTTCTCTGCACTGCTTTAACACACTGTTAGAAACAGAAACCCCACTTTGTCAGTCACAGCACTATTTTAGTGTTAATTATAATCAATAAAAAAAATTAGATTTGAGGCGACACAGAGGGGTGTTCAGGTAGAGGAGGTAGAGAGTGCTTTGCTTTAAATTTTGGGGGGTTTCCATCAAAGAGGAGCTTCAATGATCAGAGAAGCTGCTGCTATTGTAAAAAGAAAAGACCCAGCAGAGACTTTATTTCCTCAGGATACTGAAGAAGGTTCACCTGCTGCTGGAGCAGCTTCTCTCCAACAACTATCACTGAACTCCATCCTTATTCTATTGTATTCTACTGATCCGTGTTTATCAGTCTAAACTAAACGCTGCTGACTGTACCAGAAAGCAACAGAATATTTCAAATGAGCTCCAAAAACTGCAGACAGAAGTTTTCTTTAAGTACTTTTACTCCAAGTACTGTAAGACCACCCAGATGTACTTAAAGTGAGCGATAAAAGGATCCAATTCCTCATTCCTGCAGAAATTTAGAATATTTTCGCTCAGAGCTTTAAATATTTACTGTCATTAGTTTTCTTACACTTTTCATTTCCTATAACTGCAGATACAGTCAGGAGACAGATGCACAAAATCCTCACAGACTTCATTTCAGCAAACTGAAAAAAGCAACGGCAGACGGATCGGCCAAGAGCGGGGAGCTGCTCCGAGCGAAGACGAGAGGAGAGTTACAGAGCGCGAGCTGACCGGGCTTTATATACGGCGAAAAAAGCTCCCGACCGACAGAAATGTTCCCGACCGACGACGGACCGCCTCTTTCCCCGACCGACGACGGACCGCCTCTTTCCACGCCCGACGACGGCCCACGGCCCGCCCCTTTCATGACCAACGATCTCCCCGACCGACCAGCTCCCTGTAGTGTTCCCAACTTAGCGACTTTGTCGCTATATTTAGCCAGTTTTCAGACCCCTTAGCGACTTTTTTTCTAAAAAGCGACTAGCGACAAATCTGGCGACTTTTTCTGGTGTTATTGGAGACTTGTTTATGACGACTTTTTGACATGAAAGCACGGATCGCTTTTACTCTCAACAAGCAGCCCGTTCCAAAGCGCTCACGGGCGGAGGATAGTCCTCCCCCCGCTGCTATCAGGGCAGGAGATGTTCACGCCTGTGCGTCTGAACTGCAAATGAATCGCGCATGAGCGAAGCCGCTGCTCCGCACTGACTGTGACGCAGTCAGTTCTTCTTTTACTCTTATGCCGTTTTGTGGATCACAAGGTTTAAAACTACTTATAAACACACACACAAAGTAACTCCGCCAGAGTGCCTATTTCGGGCCACTTTTGCCGGTCCAAGCCCGGATAAAGGAGCAGGGTTGGAATTGTGACATTAAAAAACAATAATTGCTAAAAGAAATTTAATTTGTAGTTCTAAATAAACTCTAAATGCATTTAGGACATTTTTTACTCACTTTATGTCTCTTCCACGATGTTATTTCTCTCTCCAACAACATAGGTTACAATTATATTAGCATGACCAATTATGCAAATTAGGCGATGATGTCATTTAGCGACTTTTAGGACAGCCAATAGCGATTTTCCTTACTGAGGAGTTGGCAACACTGGCTCCCCGCTGTAGACCGCAGTCGGTCGGTCTGCCGTTGCTTCTTTCAGTTTGTTGAAATGAAGTCTGTGAGGATGCAGCAGTCTGTCACTGAAGCAGCTCTGCAGCAACATCTACATGCATGGGGTGGGAGACTGTCCATCAGAGATGTTATTTTGGCCGGAGTCCTTCTGTCTCCCACCACCTGCACTGGGTCCAGGGTGCGTCCCAGAACAGAGCTGGCCTTCCTGATGAGTTTATCCAACCTCTTCCTCTCAGCTGTCGATAAATTGTGAGACTGTGAGTGTGAGAGCCCCCGGCCTATTCAGCATGAGTAGAACGAGGGGGGGGGGGGGGGGGGGTACGTATGAAGAGTAAATGTTATGGGCGTTATACAACAGAATCATATGTATAGATTATAGTTTGAACTAACAATAAACTAACTAACTAACAATAAATCATGATGTTGACATGATGAATATATATGAATCAAGAGTAATAACATGAAAGAAAAATGACTCGTATGTGTATGAAACCTAGGAGTTTTAGGGGAAGTTAGGCGGCAGCAGAGTTGGGTGTGGTAAAAAGAGGAACTGTAGTGATTTGCGAATCGATGCTGAAATATCGAGTCCTCTGATACCAGTAATTTATGTTCTAGAATCGATTCTCATATTAAAATATCAATATTTTAGTAATATAGGGCAAATTAGTTTATCATTAACAGGAACACAGTGGAAAGAAACTATAACATTCGGATTGTCTACATTGGAAGGAACTACTTCCTCTTCTGCCTTTCATAGTCATGTGAGAAATACATCTGCATAAATGTGTGGCAGCCTCTGGCGTGCGCACTCACAACAATGGCTGAGTGTAAACGGAGTCATGTGTGGACGTATTTTACCTCCAAAAACAGCCAAGACACGGTTTGCATATGTGGCGAGACGAGGATGGGATATAAAGTAATTGCTCTTCACAGTTTTAAAGAATGACAACGCCACCCTGGGAATTTCACCCAGAGAATACTGTAAGTAACACTAAATCACCGAAAAGGCACTTAAGTTCGCTATACTCAGTCCAGAGACGAGGTTCAATGATCAACAAATTAACAATTTATTAATAATTATTTAAAACACCATATAAAAGCACAATCATAAATATTCAAGTACAAATATGCTTAAAAAGGTATTCAGAGCTGAGGCTTACCAGTGGAGGGGCAGGGATGCCACACACAAACTAAAGAAAGAAAACACACCAAAACACAAGTGCAACACACTATCACACACTCACACTAATAAACTAAACAAGGCAGGTGTGTACACTCAAGGGATCCCACCACCA